GGTTTTGTTTAGATTCTTATAATTCCGTCAGATCGAAATACTAATACTTCAAGTGAAATAAATTACCACAAATTGGCGTCGCGATGGAGCTAAGTAACCTGGGATAATTTCCTCTTAATGGTTCTCCGCGGGAGATTGCTGATTATTTGGAATGCTTTGATGCATGGTGCATTTCAAAGAATGTTCGGGATGATAAAATACCTGCTCATTTCATCACCGCTATTGGGCTTGATGCATATAGCCTGATGAAGAATCTGGCACTTCCAGATAAACCCATTTCTATGTCATATGACAAGATCCGTGAACTTCGGATAAATCACTTTCATGTAACTACATTTGAGACGAGAGAGAGGGCTCACTTCAACAAACTGGTTCGTGTTCCCAACCAGAAGATTAGAGAGTTCATTCTTCAGCTTCAAATACAAGCTTCAAAGTGAAACTTTGGAGATCAGCTGCATACTCAACTACGTGATCGTCTAATTGCTGGAATCAATATTCCTAAGTTAGAGAAAGAGTTAATTCAGATTCCTTCCTGTACCTTTCAAACTGCTAAGGATTTATGTATTACATATGAAGATGTCAACAGTGAATACTCTGCTCTCACTACGTCAGTATCTGATGTCATGCTGTCCAAAGTCGAAAATACAAGTGGTCATGGAAAGCAATCCAAACTGCCGTCCACAGGTAACAGAATGCAGCGAGAGATCAAAAACATTAAGCCGTGTTTTTCCTGTGGAAAGTTACATCTACGAAGCACTTGCCGTTTTCGGGGTGCTAAGTGTCACAAATGTGGTAAAGTTGGACACATCAAGACGGTTTGCAGGAGTTCGAGTACTTATGTTGCTCAACATTCTTATAATTCTCCCAAGCTGTCTAGTAAAATGGAGTCAATGTGTCTTTCAACCTTTCAAAATACTCAAGCTAATCCAACGAAAACCTCCACTGCAAGTTCGGCAACTCAAGTGTCAACTGTTTTCAAAGATGAGGTAGCTGAGTTACAGTGCGAACTGTCGAAGACACGAAAAGACCTGAATGAGATGAGAGAGCAACTGAATAAAATTGAGGAATTACTGCATATGCATAGACTACGTCTGGTGAATCCAGAGCATACAAGTTCTTGTGAAAGTCCTGCAAAACTATTCAAATCTCGAATTCTCAAAAAGCATCTGATGTCCACTACTTCTAATGTACATTATTACAAAGATAATAACTACAGACCTTCTGTTGGAATTATACTACAAAAAATGGGAAATCGAGTGGTGAAGATATTAGACATCAAAGATCACTCAGTTCATAACGGACACCTGGACAAAGTGACAATAAATGAAGTAGGTCGTTCCAATTATAATATTATTGATTCCGCTAATAATCCTGATTTTGTAGATAATTCAGAAATAAGTCCAGATAATACTGATGAAAATAATATCACAGAATCAGTTAGCTCGAAGCTACTTGCAAGCAAACCGAGACATCGTTATAAATACGCGAGGAGATATTCGAGGTGTGGCGGATGTGGTGATTGACAATTTCTATCTCTGTATTGTTTAAAATACTTACTTATTTTTTTATTTTATTTTATTTATTTTTTTATTTTTTATTTTTGATTTACAGCTTGATTCCACACTGTATTTTCGGTACAAGTATGGAATTTTCAGCATGGATATCGGTAGCCCAAATTTTGCAGGCCGACCATAGATATCAGGTGTGCGTCAGTGCGGGCTCGAACCCCGGACCATGTGGATGGTCGGCGAGAGTCCTAACCACTGTGCCACCGACGCACTGTTGACTGTTGATATGTTTCTTATATGAATTGCATAAGAATTCCGCTAAATACAAATTCCTGAGTTCTTCCCTCTCTGGGTTTTGTTTAGATTCTCATAATTCCGTCAGATCGAAATACTAATACTTCAAGTACAATAAATTACTACAATTTTGCTCTCAGACTGCTCTGTTCTATGGGTGGGATGCAATACATTGGTAAACTTGCTCATAGATAGATTGACACTAGTATTTACCAGTTTCAGAATATCATCGAACTTTGGCTCAATATCTTCATCCTCTATACGGTAGCTCATCTTCACCCACTTCCTTTGCAGTCGAGTAGGTAGGCGTCTCGCTATTACCTCTAGTATAAAACTCGAGTTTAGATCGCTCATGCAATTCATCGAAATCAATGCATTCTTGTAAGTCATCAGATTATCCAAAAACTCAGGGAGTGCCTTGGAGCCATCTTGTAATTGACTAGAATTACCCTTGACAGCTTCGAACACGTTCCTTACAACCATCGAAGATCTTGGAAACCTTTGACTCAGGATACGCATCGCCTCATTATATCCTCCTTTTGGCTTCATAGACTTACAGCACTATATAGCTCTTGAAGCAACTCCAGTGCAGTATTTCATCAAATACATCAACTTCATTTCATCATTTAATTAAAAACCAATCAGCAAGATCTCAAACTACTTTACAAGCTGTGGATAGTCAGCTGGGTTTTGTCGAAACACTGAGGTCCATATTTAGGCTGTTTAGATTTCCTATTATCCCTAGACGGAGAACCAAGAACAACAGACTCATCATGCTGAGCATCATACATTTCACTACAATTAACAAGCAACTCAGCAGTACTTACTTTACTGTCCCTTCTTTGACCCAGGCATCACTGAACCTGACCAAAAAATCCAGAAAAGTTCCAGATAACACTTGCCTTAAGAAGACGGGCGGACACCAGGAAAGACGAACAGAAACTATCGAAAACTATCAGAGACTGTCAGCCAACTCTCACAAACTGTCATTGTCCAGCTCTTACTACGCTGGACATCACACTGTCCCTGTAAGGCTTTCAGAAACAATTTGTAATAACCAACGGGAAAAACCAGAACACAGATTGGCGACTCGAGAATCCTTCATTATTACGCCAACATATAACCAACAATAATGTTTTTACACAAAAGGTCTAAGAATAAATATTATCACAATAAATCACGATAATACTTCTGATAGTTTTCTCTCTTCCAGCGAACAGCGAACGATGAGAGGATCACTGATGGATAGATCACTCCCGCGAAAAATATGGAGGAGTTTGGTTTGGGCAAACAAACATGAATTGATCGTTCAGTCATCATCTACATTGACATTCGTCGGCAAAAATATGATCCATCACATAAATGAGCCACTCTGTGCATCTTTAAATTTACCCGTCTTGTTTTCGTTCGAAAAGCGACAGGAAAGGCAGTCAGGCACAATGAGTTTTTGCCTTTTCCCCTATGACACGACCACCTGTCGCTTTCTCTAAATCCACTGCGAATTCATCAGAACATTCAAATAATTATCAGTGATATTCAATCTTTGGTCTACCTGAATCCAACTACTTATTCGATTTCACTATGAACCGAAATCAGTTGGAGAACCATTGGAAAACTTGGGAGTACAGGCAAACCGTTTTTTTCTGGTCTGTGACTCTTCAACAGTTCTCATCTACCGTGGTCCGAACTCGAGACCCTTCGCTCCCAAGATGAGCTCGAAGACCATTAAGCCACTAGTATTGATTCCAGTGGCCTATGAATTCCAGATTTCGCCAATTAAGGACAGTGCGACCGATAGCCAATGTCATCGGCATGTTTTCTGTTCACGCTCCAAATGCCGTGACATACCAGTCACGAATTCCAGCTAGAACCCAAGTAACTACCTACCTGATCACTGAATTCTTGAGTATTAATCTGATGCCCACTAAAGGCCAGCCCTACTCAAGTGGTGATGCTAATATAGCGATATTCTGCTAGTATGAAACAGAAACTTCTGCTTGAATAGTCAAAAATAAGACAAAGCTCTTTTTCTGGGTTTCAGTTTTAATTACCACTGCCAATGAAGGTTCGAAGCTTTAGGTGTCAAAAGTTACTTAAATATATAAAAGCATATTACCTCAATAAAAGTGGTAGCTAAATCTGGCCTCTCCTCTGTCTAATTCGTCTTCAAATTGAATTGAATTATGCCAATGACCCATTTTTGGCTAAGTGCAATTCATTACATGGGCAAATTGTTGAATAAAGCTGCTCATTTTTAAAAGTGGTTAAACTAATATGTCTTTGGAATGTAAACGATATCAAAACAGCTCATACAAGAATTCATTATCCGAATTCTAAGTAATATTTAACAGTCTGCATCTGAACTCATATACTGTGAACACGTATGTGCAAGATAATAACAATCAGAAGAATTCAAGTTTATTCCCGACCAAAAGAAGAAACTTGCCTCACAACTAAATGTGAGAAAGAAACTTGTCACCATCTTATCCGAGATGTCGGGATTTTATGAAAAATTTGGTGGTTCCGCCCAAAATATAAGATTTTAAGAGTGGTCCAGGAGTGTTACACACCGTTATTAGGAGAAAATTCACTGTCTGCATCTCACTGGGAAGCACTTCCTACAGGCAAACTCGGGATAGATCAGGGATGATTTAACTTAGAAACGAATCCCACCAAAGTAATATCTCGTGGCACGGAAATATAAGTGTGTCACACCATTGAAAACCTGCCATATGACAATACCATATCCCTGAAAATTATCACGAAGCAATATCTCGAAAGTCATCGCTTTGAAATGGAATGTCAGATAGCCCAAAATGCAGGTTACAAAATTGATTTGCAGCTAGGGGTGAGTTTTGCTGCCATTCTAATTCAAAAATATTACTGTTACACATAAAGGGTTCGACCCCCAGTCGACCCACACCTGATATCATTGGTCGGCATGTTAAATTTGGGCTGCGGATATCACATGCTGCAAATCCAATAATTGTATCAAAAATACTGCATGTAGCCAAGCTATAATAATAAAGTTAATAAATAATAAAAATCAAGGTGGAAAACAGCCTTTTTAATTCCTTCACACTTAATAAAATTGATTTAGTCTGCTTACTGCACATTTGTCAACCCATTAGACGTGAAGCCATAGGATAACAAAGTCCACTATTTATATTAAAAGAGCGTGGCAGGGCGAAAAATCCAGCCTTATGAATGTTCGTCGGACTTCAACAACCTATGTTTACGTTAATGTCAATAATTAATTTTTGCTGTGTATCTGAAGTTTCACTTCAATGCGTGATAGGGAAATAAGAACTCTGCTATCTGCTAAGTATCTTATTCTTCCTTCAATCCAATATTTTTGTCATTGATGAAGCAAAAATACGTGCTTTTCTATTTGTTTGAAGTAATTGAAAACAACTCTATTATTCTGGTTAGTTCGTTGGCGCGTTTTTTTTTACCGTCATGAATCCCCAGCAGGTTTCTTTACTGAAGGAGTTTGTGGAGTTGTTAAAACGAAAACCTGAAGTTTTGGATACTTCAGAATTATCATTCTTTAGAGAGTGGCTTTTGAGGTACTTTGAATGATTTGGTAATGACCGAATATAGTCTCGGGGCCAAAATTCCATCGTCTCAACCCAAACAGACTACTGAAACCCCACTTTCAGATGTCGACTCTGGAGCGGATGAGACGTCGGAATCCGAAATAGGTGGGTTGTACGTTTATAATTTGCTTACTTACAGAGTTTGATGATGAGGTCTTACCACGAGAAGTTGTTAAGGACCTTGACATGGGTGATGAAGGAATAGAGGTTACTGAAGAGATGCTCGAAAAAGCTGAAGAGAAAAAAAGTGAGGCTATGGGCAAAATGTCCGATGGAGATTTCAGTGGAGCTGTTGACCTGTTTACGGAAGCAATTAAGCTGAACCCACTGTCAGCGCTTTTCCACGCTCGACGTGCAAGGTAAATTCCAATGCGTTGCAAGTATTTTCGTAGCTGCTTTATAAAAATGAAAAAACCTTCTCATGCCATCAGTGACTGTGATAAGGCCATTTCTCTCAATCCTGACTCTGCACAACCATACAAGTGGAGAGGATTCGCAAATAAGCAAGTACCACTTATAGTTGCTCATGTTTTTTAGGATGGTTGGCAATTGGGAGGCTGCCTACTCTGATCTGCAAACATCTTTGAGGTTGGATTATTCGGACGATGCTTATGAGGCGATGAAAGAATTAGAACCTAAAGTAAGTTTGTCATCTTGTTAGGGTGAAGTCACGGTCGGGCGTCTAGACTTTCCTGAAGGAACATTAACATTTAAATGTGATTTGCTTCCCGGAATTTCACACAGTAGTCTAAAATTTGTCAGTATTGAGGCTTGGGCATTAGATAAGTTCATCATACCTACAAATCAGAACCTGATGAGCCCGACAAAATTTCTAACATGCGAAGTGATGCATCATCACAAGTCGCACACACAAGTTGGAGATGAGAAACTCAGAGAATCTGTAATAAGCAGAAGACTACAGGTGGAGGAGTAGTTAAGTGATGAGTGGAAATTTAATGTGATGGCTCACAAAGAGTAAATGCACCTGCGCCATTGTGGATGTCTTGGAGCCATGTCACCAATGATCTCAAGCATTTGCATTTAAGCCCCCAAAGACTATATGATAAAGTGTTGCATCAACTGGCGATAACGAAGTATGTTGTAAAAAGTGTGGTACCCTGGACTGCTTCACTTTTGTGCAAAGTCAAATAATCCGGAGGTAAGCAACATCGAATGCTCCACAGATAACATTGACACTGTTGAAAATAATACCAAGAGATAGTAACACGGGGGGAATGTCCTGTTGTTTGAAGCGTCAGTTATGGTCGCTACAACTCTAAAAGCTCAAAAAGATGACGTAAAAGAGGAAATCCAGTGAGTTATGAGTGAATGGGACCTCAAAATTTTAAATAACTTAGGAAACATCGTTTCCCATCACTTTTGCTTAGTTATCCAAACACTGCAGCCATTTAATCGACATCTATGAGCAACAACCAGAGATTTCATAAATTGGTGCTATGTTTTTTGATCTCACAACGACCAAAGTTTTCTGAAGAGAACCCAGCTGCTTGATGAGAAAGGTGATTGGCTCGCATGCTAAATATATGTCTAGACAATCTCTGTTGATAGAGATTTTCAATAATTTGTTTGCGTTGCGGACCTGTCGCCTCATGTAAAATCCCAAAGTTATTCAGCATACTTTTGCAGTTTTATGGGGTTATAAAGCAGGTACACGATACTCTTCGGTGGGACTGAAGCTAACTCGGCAATTTAAGGCAAAATGCTTCTCTTGGCGTACTTAGTGTCTGTGTAGGATGTTGGCTGATGCACCAGTTGATACGTAGTCTCTTCTTAGGCTTGTTATTGACAGCCCTGAATAGTTCGAGTTCGAGTGGTTTCCATATAGTGGTAGGTGCTACTGTCGCTCTGGCCAAAGTTGTGTTAAGAATAACTTAGATTCCTCCGTTCACAAACGCTTTACCTTAAAGAACTATGTTTTTGCTTTCTTGTATTCATCCAGCACAAACGAATTTTCGAACACAACATGAAGTATGAGCGTAAACGACAAGAGAAATTGGACAGGGAAAAACGTGAGCGGATCCGAAAGGCACGTGAGGAGAGAGAACGTGCCCAAAAGGTAGGTTTTGTTTTGTTTCTTGTTATTGGGTGTATGGGATGTCTTCACATGTACTCGCACTTGAGTCATTTCTACAGCAATTGAAATGTCAGTTTATAAATAAGTTTTGAGTGTTAACTGAGATAAAAGTTGGATGGGAGATCAAGCTGCCACTTATGAATAGTCGAATAGCTGATTCGGACTCAAACTTAGACTTGACTTTTTTGCTGGTATAAGTATTTGGTCCTTTTTGCCATCCTGCGTACATTACTGTTTCGGGTAACCAGTTCTAATTGTTTCTATACTCTAAATCATTTCTTGACAGGAAGCAGAGAAAGCTGACTTCGAGATGCCGGATGAAGGGGGTGTCCCAGGCATGGATAACGTATTCTCACAATTGTTCAACGATCCTGAATTGGTGACGGCACTTCAGGTATTTACTTCTAATTTTCTTTCGTTATCCTTACCATTAATCTCTGTAAATTATTTTCTGAACATCAAAATTCAATTATTTCTATTAGTGGTTAGAATTTTCAAACCAAATCTATTATTTGATTCAATCTAAAAACATTGTGTGTAACCATTCTTAAACTAATATGATGCTATTGACATGCATATCACCCTTAGAAGTCGCTTATTAAGAATGCCTTGCATTTCCAGTCAAACAGACCTTCAGCGACTACCATCCAACGAGCTCCACAACTGCCAACAAGTTTTCATTTTCTCTTCACACGATCTCCTTGACACCCTCGAACGCCTGCACCTCACTTATTTCCACTCGCCAATCTCCTCGGGCGATGTCCAGTCCATCTGTATTTCCTTCAGCTTATTTGCTGGGCAATAACCTGTGAACTGGTTCTGTCTCCCAGACTCCCTTGCTGCTTATCCCTTCTGGCCAGACAACTGATCACTATCAAGACAGCGAAATGCGATGTTTACGAAGGTGCACATTAGTCTTTTGGAAATGCATTTTAATGAGACGCCATGTCTCTGAAATATAGAAGCGCTGACTTAACATTAGTGCCAGCTGCTGCAGATCTCTACATTGATGTCAGATTGATAAATGCGTATTTTCCTCTCTCAATCCTGTTTGACTTCATCCGTCCATGCTATGCTGTGTAAGTCAGCCTGCTAAATATTCCTGGTTTGGTTGGTCAAATGTAACATACTTGATCCTTAATAATTCGCGAATGTACGACAGCAAGTATGTGGAATGCTGGAGCATACACGAACATATTTAATTGGAGTTGTTAAACCACAAAAGTATTAAGGCTAGGGCATAGGAATCTTTGAAACGGCAATTGTAGTAATGCAATTGAAGTATTGGAAACAATAACGTGTAAATCTGCACTATTTTTATGATAGAACAGCAGTACCTTTGCTTCTAGTAATCAGTGCAGACCATAGGGTTTAATGCATGCTCGGCAGTCTCTCGCTTACAAATAAATTTAGAATTTTGTTGTAATTGAGTGACTTGAACTAACAATACAATGTTTATATTTTCATTTAAGGATCCAGAAGTGATGAAAGCGTTTAGTGAAGTGTGCTCTAACCCAGCTGCTATGGACAAATATAAAGATAACCCAAAGGTAAAGAAGATTATCGAAAAGATGAAAAATAAGTTCGGTGGTGGTGGTATGCCTGGTAAGTACAACTCTACTCATAGTTGTTCATCTAAATATGGTGCAAGCTATGTTTACTAGTGGAAAAAACAATAGTTGGGTTCTTGAGTATTAATGCTGATAGTTGCAAATAATGCAATGGTTATTCTTTCCAAAAGCAAAGGCCTATACGTGTTTCCTCCTAACTATTCAACTGTACCATTCTAGTTGCTTGCGAACAACACATGTTTATCTATTAGATTCAGTAAAATTATTGAGGGCTAGTCGCAATGACACAGATCTGCTCATTCACCGGACCTTCGAATGTATTTTTGAGTTTCAGTTTCAAATTTTCTGTCAATAGCCCCAACGCGAGCACTTTTTCTGTGCTGTTGGAAAATCATGGTAACTGTGTAATTATTTATAACAACTGTGACGACTTTATATGATTCACTCCTATGTGTAAACCCATGCTTTCTTATATAAAGTGCAAGATCATTCGTCCATATCAGTAAAATTGCTATACATTTGTCAGATATAGTGGTTTAAATTGAATTCTTTGAATTATTCCTACTTACTTTGAGCTTACTTTTGTATTACTTGAATCTACGTCATGAGGATTTGTTATTCACGTCCTTGTGCAGGGGTGGTAAAAATTATTCTAACGCCTGTCCGTACTTAGCGTTAAGTAGTAGTGTGTACACTAGTGTGGTGCTGCGTAGGTTAATTGTTCATAGGTTGGCACGTCATCAGTGGTTAGTTTAATCGAAGGACATCAACCTCATCACAGTTCCACGTAGACACTTGTCTTTGAGCTAAACATGTCCAGTGGCTGTGTTCATTAGGAAGTGTTTCTGTGAAGCCGTTTGAAGCAACTTTTAGGTCAGCTGGCTTGGGTTATACATAAAAGTCACTACGCAGTAACTGATATGATCTTAAAGCACTGACTTCAGTAATTTTGAATGTATGTTATTCACGATACCGTCTACTGTTTAACAACTTTAAAGTGATTCGGAACAGTGAAGAGTGTATATCATTTAAGATTGTAGTGTAAGGGATATTTGCATCATGTTAGCATTTGCTGATGCACCGCAATTTCCTGAATAGCTTTCAAGTGGTCATTAGACTGATTGACTGCAGATATCGAATGCGACTGTAAGCAAAAAGCAGTAACTTTCGTGTACTTATATCCTATTTTCAGTAACAGTATCGATTTTCCACTTTCCGTAAACGTGTTTCACAGTTGCTAAGAAGGATGGGGCGAACTGTTGCATAATGCATGCATCTTTTAAAGGATGAGAAGATATATCACCTATGCCAAAGATAATGCGAGTGAGCAAACGAGCTTTTAGTGTACGTGCTGAGGTCCCAACAGTAACCAATCCATTAGTGGAAACGTGGTCAACACATTCAAATCCTGTGGTTGTTTTCTGATTTCCCAGGGGTAGTGTCAGATACAGATAAATGATAGTAAACTTGACATAGAAGTGCATCAGTTGTCAGACTTTATAACCACATTACAAAGAGAAAAATAAGATGACAATGTAGCAGTTATACATATGTTCAAGACGAGAAGTAATAATCAAGCAGTGAATATGATCCAAATTTAGATATTAAAAAGTGAACATAATATGATTATTGTGAATTATCTGAACCATCTTACTGAGTTTCTCTACGCATTGACTGAACTCCCCTGTGACAGCAAACTAGGTTTCTCTGGTTTGAGTGACATCTCGTTGTCCTTATGATGTGATTGCTTTTTTGATGTCTTCCGATTTTAAATTTATTTTAAACCTTTGAAGTAAGCCATAAAAATAGTTTGACTAATATGTAATGTTTGTTCAAGATAATAGGATGAACGGCAGTCTCACTGTAAGGTTATGCAGTTTTTACTCAAAATCTGAAATCAGTGCTTTCTGAAAAGCATTCATCCTGATTGCATCGTTCTGTTTGAATTCCGAGTGCTCACGTATGTATGCATTACACTTTTATGATACAGGTTTTACTACGAAGTAGCGTGTAACTCGGTCCTTTTATTGTCTCTAACCAGTCGCAACAACGGTGAGCCACAATCGTGAGAGTAAATATTTTATCTAAACCAGCGCGACCCCACAAATAACCGATGGTCTTCACTAACCGATTTTACGTACACTAAGAATCCCAACGTGTAGTTTTGTATGTCCTTTCAAGAGAATAGATGTCTTGAGAATTAGTATTACTTGCTTCTCTTGGAATTCAGCCACATTTTGTAAAGACTCTTAATACTACACTGTTGCCCACTATGGTGGGGTGGTATTCAAATCTAGTACTCAGCTGTAAACTGATTGCCTAAGGTAGAGCCGTATCTACAAGTGCCAGTAAAGAGTATTGTATGAATAAAACAGCCTTATCAGCCTGAGAATGTGATTCTAGAGTTCAGCAAACGTTTCAGTATAATCGTAAAACTATTCTCTTGCTAGTTAATTACCCTTTACTGCCAGTAGTCTCAGACCTAGACTAAGGCACTGTTGTTGTATCAGACTTCATTGATCCTCTTTATCTGATAAAGAGTAGATAGAATTTCTTTAGATTCTGATAGACACTGAAAAGCAATTTACTGTTACATTTCGTTGGAGCCAATAAACAGCATACATTCATCCTGGACTGAAAATAACCAGGTTCCCGTCGCTAGTCTCATTGACATACCAGTCAAGACGTCGTAGTATTTCACATAAAGTGACTTCTCACGCATTAGTTCCACCATGAACCTCATTCAACAGTTTATCTTCGGATTTCATAAACGTTTGATTGTATGTTTCGCTAGCATTTGGTTGTTGGAAAAATTTATGAAAACAGTCAACTATTAATCACCTGATCGCGTTCTTAAATCCCTTTCAGTTTGACGTTGAACTGTTGTGTTCGACTCAATTTATTGTTTGATCGTCTCCTCTTTATAGGAGTGGCATAGTAATTTTATTCCTTCTTGCATCTAATTGTTTTACCAGGAGGTATGCCGTTTGGAATGGGTGGAAGCGGTTTCAACATGCCTGGTCAGTCATGTCCAGGTAAGTTACTGTGATTCATAATCCTTATTGCCATTTAGATTTAGACTAAATCGCATGGATGCTGATTCAAGTTACTCGGTGAATACATTCAAGCACATGTTATGCAGACATTTTTTTTACATAAAAACTTCTCTCACCAGTGTTTATTTTCTCTTAATCTTCTAATCTAACAATACATTTTGTTTGAACCTCCTTTTACCTAAGAAACATGAAGTAATGCAATTAGATAAAAGCACCTTTTAATTCATTTCACTGGTCTAGTTGCTCGATTAACAATCTCTGAACCTTGAGTTCAAACCTTGTTCCATTTACCATGGTTTGGGCAGCCAAGCAGTATCGTTAGCTCTTACACAATAAGCGTGGCTCCTTACCAATCATATGGTGATGCAAGAAGTTGTTTAGCAACACACACAACAAAGCTCGAGTGAGCAATATATATTTAAAAATGGTTATTGCAGCACTTGTGTTAAGTACATCATAGTCTGTTTGGAATATTTTTACGAAGTCATACCTCTGATATCACGAATCTTTAAAATAATCAGTGTTCATTGAAGTTAAATAACTACCATATCTATGACGTAAGAATGCAACTGTAAACCGTTAGAAAGTATAATTCCGTAATAGAATAATTTATACAGTGAAGCGCACATTGCACCGCATACTGACATTTGGCATTATCATACAGCCAGCTGTTGAATGAGGTTGACAAAGACTTGAGCACGTCATAGTATGGAAGTAGTTTCCAAATTACTTCTCGGTCGACGCTGTCGAAGGCCTTTTCAAAGTCGATGAATTTGAGCTCCAGGTTTGACTTACATTCTATGCTTTGTTCGATGATGATGCGTAAAGTTGCAATTTGATCAGCACATGACTTACTATTCCAGATTCCATTTTGTTCCGGTGAGGCGAAGTTCTCTATCCAGTACATCTTTTATTCTCTCCAGGATGATACGACTTAGTATTTCACCTGGCGTGGACAACAGCATTATTCCACGCCAGTTCTTGCAGAGTGAGGCGTAAGTCGCCCTTTGGCAGTATGATGAGGTAGCCCTTCTTCCAATCAGTAGGCACCTTCCCTTCTTTCCAAACTTTTCGTAGTAATGGAGTGAGAACATCTGCCGCAATCTCTGGGGCCGTCTTCAGTGCTTTGGGGGGATACCGTCTGGTCCTGCTGCCTTCCCGGACGGTGTTCGGCAGCTTGACCGCATACAGAATTTCTGCTTTCGTTGGAGGATTGGTGTCCACTGGCAGTTCTGTGCGTGCTGTTGGTGGTATTTCTGGGCGTGTTGCAGGTGATGGTTGATTCGACAGTCCTTTGAAGTGGTCAACCCAGTATTTTATTTTTTTCTCTTTAATGATCAAGTTCCCATGAATATCTTTTATTGGTTTCATCATCTGGTTTGGTATCTTCCGAAGTCCTTAGGTTCCTTTTGCCTGCAGCTTGTTCCGCTTTAGTTACCAGTGTGTCGTAGAATTGTCTTTTGTCTATCCTAACACTCTTCACCTCCCTATTCGGTGCTGCGTACATTGGACTCAGCTTCTCCTGTTGTCCATCTTTGTATTGGTTCACCTTCTCTTTCACCATCCCCTTCTCAAAATTAGCATCCAGGTATCCATTGAGAGCCATTCCTTTTCTTGTCTCTTCCTTCTTCGTAGAACATTTTGTACACGTTTCCTTGAACCTTACCACCAGAGAGTTCCAATGTTCTTGCACACAGGTTTCCTCAGTGATAACACGTAGTGTGTCCGAATTTGCTCTGATCTGTAACGAAGGCATCCCTTGTAATTTTGTCTTTCATTTTCTGAATGTTGAACTTGAGTTATGGTCTGTCTCCATGGGTTTCAGCTTCACCTTGAAGGTTCCTTGAACTGGATGATGGTCTGAGCCCACATCTACTCCTCTTCTCAACTTTGTATCCGCGAGACTAGTTTCATCTCCACTTCCTTGAGCAGCATTGAGATGTAGTCTATCTGGTTTATGGTGTGTCCACCAGGCGAAATCCATGTTGCTTTGTGTATATACATGTGCTTGTACACGCTCCCTCCGATCACTAAATCGTTGAAAGAGCAAAAGTCTGCGAATAATTCCTCGTTCTCATTCATTCCTCCGAGAGCCACTCAACCTATGGTGAGTTCTCTTCCTGCATTATCAGGTCTCAGTTTGACGTTCATATCGCCAATGATGATTTTGGATGTTGTCCATTACTGTTTGTAATTGTCTTCTTTCTTCTACGCTGGTTCCACGTTGTTTGTGGCATTGGATAATTGTAACCTTCCTTTTGAGTTCAATCTTGATGTCATAATCCTGGATGAAATTGGTTCCCACTGCATTAGGGCTTTGGTTGCTACTGAGACATCATGATGGCCACTCTTTCACTATGCTCGTGGTTGTTGTCTAGGTGACTGGAGTAGATTACTGACTCTCCAGTTAACAATTTGGGTAATCCACACCCTTTCCATCTGCTTTCGCATATACCCAGCACTTTTAGGCCATATCTTCGTATTTCGTTGGCTACGTGGGCAGCCTTATCGGCTTTGTACATTGTACGGACATTCCAAGTCCCCATTCTTATTCTTGCTTTCATCGAGAGAAGACATACTGGCTGACCACCTTACCGAAGGCTTTGAAACAGCCTGCTGTGTTATTTCGCCTCTCCGATTCCAGTGAAGAATAAGATTGTGGTTACTTGAGGTTTTTTTATTTTTTAATATATTTTTTGTGTTGAGATTTCTCTCGGGCTTCGCACTGGCTAGAAAACTAGCAAGTTGGTCAACTGGGCGAGGTTAGTTCTTCATAATAGATATGCCTAAAGTGATCGGTGGAAAGCTATTGTGTTCATTGATTTTGAAGGCCTTCAAGGTATTCCAATAACATCGTAAAAACAGATTTTTAGGGAAGATTCGGACATTCGATTAGCTACTATAACAAAGTGGTGTCTGTAGTAGATTTATTAGTTTAGAAGTAGTTTTGTGGCACAGGACGAACATAGTACGGCTAGCTTTTAATGGTTATAAAACGAATGCTGTTGAATAGAAATATCGAAATGACAAGTTGTAGATCAAGCTTGGGTATAGCTAGTAGTGAATTAATTTAAGGGGAAAACTAGGATTGCAGTGCAGTTTAATTCAAATCATCAATTATATGACAAAATGTCTTTTTCGTTGGATTAAAACGCATTCCAGGCTGATGGACTTTGTAGTGTGAATAGAAAGTAAGATTAAAAAGAAATTGTTTGTTTTGTCATATGGAAAATGGTTGGTGGGTTGTTACACAAATAGTCGCGTTCCCTCAGTTTGTGCCAACATTACTTGAAGGTCTAAAGGATTCTTGAATAAACAATATATGTTTCGGTTCTGATTCACCTTTTCAGTAAGCTGTATACGTTTCATTTACGTTCCATAAAAGAATAGGTAGTTTGTGCATTCCAGTTAACAGATTTAGTTGTGGATATACTGATTGAGACGAATCACACCCTCAAATTTACTTGCTCAAATCACAGTTTATTTATTCTATCTGCGTTGACGTACTGGCTACAATCTGAGCGAGGAAAATAGCGTTTTACAACAGTATGCGGTTCCCGATCGTTTCTGTCTTCCGGTACAACTGCTACTGACCTTCCTTTCTGTTGGCCACATAGCTGCTACCTTGACGTGGTGGTCGGGCTTGCATATCGCGATGACCCAACAAACTACACTGGCTGGAACATATATTCCCGCAGGTCCTACCATGCCAGGAGGGTTCCTAGGATAGCGATTAGACTTAAAGCAGTTACCGGCATCGTGTAAGAATCTTTCTTACGTATGCTGGGGTCTGAGGGCGAAGTCGTACTGCTGGGGAACAGGGGTGTTGTAGTAACATTGAGGTGTTTCCCTCAGATGACCAGCTATGCTGTCTCTCCACTCCAGAGGGAGGGAGGTGTTTAGGAAAGGTCGACCCCGAAAATTGTACATCCCGACTTACCCTACGGTAGTCCGTAACCGGCGGTAAGTTTACTAATGAGGAACCAATCCCAGAAACAAGTTCATACAGGCAGTGTGTGACCGGCCTCAAGCAGTTGTCCCCTGGGCTCTGAGGTCACGCAGCATTTTCTGTTTCAGGTACCCGAAGAATTAATCGACTTCCACGGTGTGGGCAGCCGGGAAGTAACAAACGCCCATACACTTCCAAAACACACGTTGGCCACATGCAATTAAAGTTCCTCTGATTGCGAACATCTGGTTTTTAGTACCAATATGGGAAAATTCTTCTTTCGAGCACTGACTATTCACTTTGTTTCTAACATTCATCCAGGATTTTTGTAGATGAAGAAACTATTGTTTTTCTAAGAATTGGAAATCGATTATGGCTAGACTTCTGCATTAAAGCTAATAGGAAGGCAAAGATGATCGGACGGTTCTATCGCTCGACATCTAAATTTTATTTGAAGAAGCCCATTTCAGACTGCTTAACAAAGATCGGGTTGTCTTATTTTACAAGTGACATATGCTTACTTAGCATTTTTATCTTTCAGTCTGGCTGTCGTGTATTGAACAGCGTTCATACATATCACAGTATATAAGAATGTATTTCAGATCTCATCTCAGTTTATTATATCGGTATTTGTAACCACAAAGTTTAGTTAATTGAATATCTCACCACGATTAGGCGGATGAAGTACAAATTTTAATAAAGGCCATCGAAATATGTAGGAATTTTGTTTGATATAATATGCTGTGGTAGCACAAAAAATATGCATTACTGTAGCAGTATTGTGAAATCAACTGACTGGTGAAGGGCAGTATGGGTTCCACTTGAATCGTGGATTCATTCATCATGTATTCGTCTCTAAATTACGTGTAAATTATCCTACATATTAAGAGTCGACAGTCGTTGTGTTTCTTTGTAATTCTTGTACGTTCAATTTATTTCACTTGATGGACACTTAGTCTGCCTCTGGTGGTGTATCCTCAAATTCCACAGCTTCTTCAGTATACCCAGATGTGATTTGCCAGTAGGTACAACATAAAACCAAAAGGCACTTGTGAAGTTTAGGGTACACGTATTATAAGAAAAGTTGAATTTACACAGGCTATATGTAAACAACCAATGTATAGTGAAACAAAATAATTAATCAGTTGCAGAGTGATACCGTAGTTCTATTTAAAATAAGTGCCCTTGTAAGTACCATTGTCTTTTGAGTCTCTCTACGTAGGAAATTCTGAGAAATCCAATTGTATTAAAAAGCACAAGTGAAAACTTGAGAAAGTTTATTATTAGCAAAGTTAATTTAACGCTTAAAAAAATTCAACTGTGCTTGACCGCGCAAATATATATGAAAACAATCGAAAACCAATGTTCAATTATAAAATGGCATATATTTGGTAAGTATATGTAAAATTAGCTTCTGTTAAAGTATAATATAGGTAAATGAAACAGTTTTAGAAGCGTTCAGTTAGAGTTAATAGAGGCGCCCTACATGTTCTCTTTATATATAT